TTGTACACTTGTAGTATTTTGAGATCCAAAATTATTAAAACCAAAGTACTGAGCGCAATTCCATAACAACATAACAGAAAAATTACACAACTGTAAACAACAAGCCCAACTCAAAAAAAAAAACAATAGAAAATGGTACTGTAGGGCGGGGGCAGCTCTAGTGAGAACTATAACTAGTATATATACAATACATATGTATTTGAATTCCAGTGCAGAGTTCACTCATCCTGATAAATAAAACGCACTTTTAAAGTAATCAGCGACTGTTGCGATACCTCTTGAAATTCTCGCTCTTCAGAGAGGTAATGCAGGAAATGAGCAAACTCTAGATTTAAAAGAGCTAGAAGAAAAATAATTATATGCATTGTGTGGTTCCTTAGACTAATACAACCACATTTACAAGACAATGAATTAATTTATATTTACAAGTGTTAAACCTTACATTTATTTTGTACCAAAAGTTGAATAAAAATGGATTAACTTGCTTTTTGAAGAAACTGAAGGATTCTACACGTCGATACGCTGGGAAAAGGTAGCCAGGTGGAAGAATAAGCTGACGCTGAACTGCTCTCTTTTCTTTCTACCCTTTTTCTTCTGGAATACCTCTCTCTAGAATACGAAAAGAAAACAAAAAGGAGTAGAGGGACTTCAAAACAAAAATGAAAGTGCTCACTAATACTCAAACTTCCTTCTTTATAAGAAAACAGATCATTTCGAACGCCACCGAGATCACCCACAGCAACCACAAGGTATGGCTTACAACGGGCATCCAGAGCATTCGTTGAAGGTTTAAATATCATAACTGTCCTAGGTGTAATAATGTTTGATCCTAAATGTAATAATTTCCTAAATATAATAATATTTGGTCCTAAATGTTATGAGTCTACAATGCAATCGTTTGACTGCGCTAGTGCATTGTTGTTATAGCGGACATCCACATTGAGATGTTAAAGTGACAGCTGTTGCACAAAAGAATCCTTTGACCAATATTCATTGCATATTGCGGGCTCGCTGATATTAATCAGCGTCTCTTTGTTTTCCACATTAAAACTATTTCTAAGATTTATTTCTAGATCTACGTTGGGAAGATTTCCAAAGTGACATTCGTCATCCCCTCTCGTACTAATATTATCAACGTGGCTGACACTATATAAAGCTGGTTTACAGCTTGTCGCAGAATATAAGTCGATGTATACATCTGAAACAAGCTGAACTTCCTTTAGCTTATCACCATCATTGGCTATGCCCCTGTCGACTTCACTTTGCAATATTCAAGCTCCGTCTCGTTTTTTCGGCTACTATAAGTAAGTCCCTCAGTTACATCTCCTGCATACAGCGTAATCAGCCTCCCATAGGTTCCATCTCGCGCCATATGAGTGGTATAGTCGTCCCAGGAAGCGACCTCATCATCTGCCAAATGATCCAAAAGAGGGAAGCCATCGCTATCGTACGGATTACTTTTTAAGGATGATACTATTTTATTCATGATACTCATGGTTTCAGGAGATCTTAAAATGCCAAGTATTTTTGCCTGGTGCGTTAGTGCAGCAAGTTGGCAATTGAAATCTCCAGGAGGATTGTCAACCAATTTAAAACCCTGGTTTTTAATAGCCTTTGCATAATCGTCTCTTCTCATAGGTATGTAATACTTTTTCTGGTGGTAAATTTTTTATTTTTAGACAGCTTAGCGTATTTTTATTTCTGTTTTTCGCGCTCTAGTGTAAGGCTTGTGACATCGTCCACAGAGACCCATTTCCACTCTTCCTTTCCTGAAAGCGGTGAGGTGTATGAAACCCTATAGGTATGCAATTTAACCTTTCGTTTCACGATACAACCCTCCGTCACATGCCGTTTATTCGATGGTTTCCCTCTAAAACGTATATAATTTTTTTCTCCGATGCTGTAAGCTGAGGGAAGATTCAAGCGAAGTCGTGCAAAGTATATCTCGAATGGTGTTTTGTAAGCTATCA